CGGACAGTCACCACATTTGGTATGATCTAACTGGCAAAGAAGTACTTCATACCCTCCGCTCTTGAACAGGGCCATGAGGAAAAAACGACTGCGGACTACAAGCAGAAAAAGCAAAAATACGAATATTTGCTAAATACCTGCTGAATTGCGCTGGTTATTCCAGAAACACCTAAAATACAACAAGTAATGGACAACGAGCCATCTTCTTTAGAAGAGATCAAATGTATCTTTCATAAGAGCAAGAAAAGCTATAGCGTTTGCTTTAGAGACACTGAAATCAGACGATGAAGAGGTCTTTGTGCCCTTAAAATACTTCGGGAGCCACGAAATCTTCCCAGCTCTGCAGCAACTGAGCGAGGATATACTGTAAATACTTAGTATATTTAGGGCAAGCTTTGCTTAGGGAGGAATCAAAACGTAGTTTTAATGCCAATAACTTGATAACAGAGTTATTATGTGTCCAAGTACGCTTTGGATTTTAGGAGAAGAGATAACAAAGGCATGGTGAAAGGGCGCTAGACATAACCACATTCCGCATCAAGGCGAATTACAATTTTCCTGATCCATTTAGTATGCGCTTCCCAAATGGTGTCTTATTATGTTTTTGAAACATTTAAGTAAATCCAAGGACAGTTGAATAGCAAGAAATACACAGCGTATACCCCATTTCAGTGAGAGAAGATCCATCATAGGGCAGGTGAAGATATGTGAGGCCTGGTCACTGACACCGGCCGAAACAGAATGAGGATCAGGTACAGTGCCAATTTCATCTACCTCAGTGCCACCCTCGGTAGACAGTCCGCGTGTACCTAGTACCTTAGTTATCTGTCAGGAGTTGTGAGCTGGATTATGAGGGAAAGTAGACTCCCTTGCGATTAACGGAATCCAGCAGAGTAAGTAATATTGCGCATCTTAACAGCTTTTAGATAGGCAGGCAAATGTCGGAATTAGTAGTTAAGAGCAACAGTAAATGTTTTTTTTGTTTAAAAGCATTGTTAGTCACCCGATGCTTAGAAATAAGGCTTTACAAGATAAGTTCAAGCGGCGAGAAGTTCGCTGAGGTGTCGTTGACAATATCATTTCAAAAAGACTGAGACCAGGACTCATTCAAAATCTTTGGATTCTTTAGGCCGTTAAAAATGGTTAATTGCTTGGTACTGGCATGCCGGGTCCCGATTCACCGAAGCCAGAAAACAAATATCAGCATCCATACAAGAAACATCGGCTAAGCCCACATCGTTGTTAGCGGCATCCACATCTATACCAGCATCAACCGAAAGGAAGAAGCAACAGCATGCGGGACACGAAACAAACAGGGGAAACAGATGACTTCAATGATGCGACCATCAGCCCACCGACGGTGGCTTAAATAAGATGCATGATTTATATGAGTGGACTAGAGAGGTTGGAGCGACCAAAGACACGGCAGGGGGCTTTATATCGCAACCTACAGTTTAGCTGTAAGCAGCTCGAAATATACCAATCAACAAAAAGCATAAAACGCAAAAAAAAAATACAGAAAGGAACCAGCCAGTTAGGGGCCGGTACTGGCTTACAGCTGTAACACAAAAACCAAACAGAAGAAGTGAAAAAAAGGTCAATATTGGAAAAAAATTATGAATATTGTATTAAAATTATCAAAATTTAATTAATTCGTCTCAGAAGAATCGTCGTTCTCAAAACGATACAAGGTCGATTGTTGAAATCACATGATACGAGACGCATTAAAAGAATGTTGGTTTGGTAGAGGACGACGATCTCTCATATGGGATAGAAAGCGGTATCTGGTATTTTCTTCAAAGGAAACTTGCTTATCTTTATTACGCAGATGAAGCTGTTGGCATACTCATAGAAAGCTCTATAGTAAGAAAGACCTTTTATTGCTTAATAGTAAGGCAAGAATCACAGGACTTATCTTGTGAAAGAATGAAATTAATAGCCTCGCATCTGATAAGCGCTCCGCACATCTACTGTATAACGTTCTTCTGTCAACATTCCAAATAATTTAAAAAAAATAGAAAAAAGGGCTATGTTCGGCACGCCGAAGACCTAATACCCTTGCAGACCAAACCTTTTCATAATGCTTATAATGCTTTGCCCGTATCTAAGAAGCACAAAAATATTAATAAATGTCAAGTTTGGTAAAAATATCTTGAAAAACATAATGTTTTTCCATACAACATTTTAATTTCGACCGATCGTTCCTATGGCAGCTATATGATATAGTGGTCCGATCCAGCTGCTTTTGACATATGTGCTGCGTGCAACAGAAAAAAGGGACTTCTGCAAAGTTTCATTAAGATAGCTTTAAAACTGAGAGACTAGTTCGCATAGAAACAGACAGACGGACAGACGGTCAGACGGATAGACGGACATGGCTATATCGACTCGGCTGTTGATGCTGATAAAGAATATATATACTTTATGGGGTCGGAGATGTCTCCTTATATGCGCCGCACTTATCAGCTAAGTTTTCTGTTTATAAGCTTAACTTTAACTTTAAAGTTAACAAATATAGACTTGTTTATCATAAATAAGAACCTTCTTTCTAACTCTCGGCTTAGTAATAAGCCGATTGGTTATGGAAAAATGCGCCAAGTAGCTGGAAAATCACCATTGGAGATCAGGACAGGTTTTATAAATAGCCTGTAACGCACTGATACTCAGAGCATCAGCATGATAACAGCAACATTAACATTTACTAGTGCCAATAGTTATTCTGCTTACAACACGGCTACTGCGGCAACTAGCAGTGTGAGCCATAGCGGAAGCTTGGATATCCATTAAGCTACCTTTACCCAATGCTCCTCAGACATTACTTTTCCAACAACCAGAAGAGCTACATTCCTTAGTTCCTAGTGAAGCTGCTACTAAATTGGTGGCAGCCCAAGAGAATTTGAAAAATATGAGACGGAAACCATTTTCTCCCAATACTAGCTCTAAGACGCCGATAGAGATTCTAAACTAGTTTCGCCCACAGCATCAACAAGCATGGCAAGCTCTGGCAACAGGTTTTCAATGTCTACTCCAGAGTCCAAGGTCTGATCTAATTGAATCGAATATTCAGGATGTTGTCTGAAAGCCAGATGACAGTACGGTTGGTAATTAATCGACGGCTTGGCCATCTGTTTGCAAATTTACAACAAGGGCTACATGGTCAAAATCTAGATCCCAGCTTTGGAAGAAATTTGCTTGAGAATCCGGTATCCCTGGTGATTCGATCTTTCCCCTGTCCATTGCTTAATCGAGCTTTTTTTGTTTCCGTTGCTGCTCCTGAAGCCACAAGAGGAATTGCTGCTGCTGCAGTTCCAGCTGTTGTTAACATTTCAAAAATTGCTGTTGCTGTTGTTCCAATAGTGACTAAACGTCAACTGGATGCTGCTGTTGCATGATATTTTCTTTTGGCTTTAGTAACTGTTGTTGCGCTTGAAAGCCATGTAGATGGCGCTAGGCAGGTTCATTACCTTTCTTTCTATTAAGGCATAGGAATTGCTTCCAGTATTGACTCTAGGAGTGTTAGGTACTTGTTATGTTTGTTTGTTTGTTATGATCACCCGCTTATGAGCTAAGCTAAGTCAGCAGTCCCACGCTGACCTCTAATAGCATATATATATATATATATATACATATATGTATACATATATCCTATATCCCGATTATGCTGATAAGACACAATATGTGTGAAGGCGCTCCGCTGCTGGCGTAACCGGCAGCGCAGCTATGCGGTCTTATACATAAGAATATATTGAATAAAACATTCAAAAAACTAAAGTCAAACGGCACAGACGTGCCCGTGTATTGAACTATTTGAATCTATTACATTTACCTTTACATGGCGACCGTGACAGTGGTTTGCCGTTTGTGTTAAAAAAAAATTAATAATAAAAATTAAAATGTTGAAACTGCTGTGCAAAAAAAAATTAATAATAAGGCATAATGAGAGTGCTTCAAAAACAAAGATTGATTAATAATATGAACAAAAATTGCAATAAACATTGTGCAACATGTCTTATAAGTCGAAAGTGACAAGCAGCAGAATCTGAATCAACGAAAACAACCGAGAAAACAATTTAAAATTTACCAACAACAACAGAAGAAACTTTTCGGATGACACGAATGAGTACACCACAGACAGCCTGTGCGATGACCAGCACCGATTCCGCCTGAGCCCATGGGCCCGGACAGCAGTAGCAGATACCGAGAAGTAAATGAGCAACGTTGGACTGGAAGACTGAAAACGCTATACAGAAAGCCCCAATTTGCTTTAACATTAAGTTCTAATATCAAACCTATGCGGGAAACCGCTGCTTGTAAAAATACTAAACACTGATAGGCTTTACACTAACAAATGTGGTTAGAGAATTAAAAAATAAACAAAAATGAATTGTAAAGCGAAATGTGAGCCAACCACATTCTATAATAACTAATATTTTTATGTCTCTGGCGCTGGGTATCTATATACTCCGCTGCAATAAAACATTTGTCAAATGATACATTAAAAAAAAAAAAAAACTTTTCATATAAATTATCACTTAAGATACTATTTTTGATTTCAAAGAAGAAAACATTTTTCTTTCTGTACGTAATTCCACAATTAAAAATTAGGAACAAATAAAAAACTTTCAATAGAAAGCCTTACTTGTTCTTTCGTGAACGTAAAAAAAACAAATTAGACGTTCTGGTCGGGAGCTCCCGACTAGGGGATACCCTGAACCCTCTTCTACCAACATCAAACGCATATATATATTCTATTTTAGAAGCTTTATGTCATGTTTGGTGACTCTAGCTCTTATAATTTACCAAAATTTCACAAAAAAAAGGATATCGATATTTTATCAAGATTTATCGATTGCTTGAAAACGGAGTAAGTTATAGAATATCGGAAACAAACTCGACCTGCGCAGGCACTAAGAGCACCTACATCTAAAATTTCAAGTCTCTAGCTCTTATACGTTCTGAGATCCTTGCGTTCATACATACGGACAGACGGACAGACAGACAGACAGACGGACATGGCTAGATCCACTCGGCTATTGATGCTGATCAAGAATGGGGTCGAAGATGCTTCCTTCTGCCTGTTACATACATTTGGATTTTGCACAAATACAATATACCCATTTTTAATGGGTTCAGGGTATACAAAATTATTTTTCATATTGAATATATATAAAAACAATTAAATTTCATAATGCGATGGTTTAGTGATTCTAGTGAGGCAAAAGACAATACCGCCAACGTTGTAAACAACGCCAAGATAATTGATCACATAGACGATATAAAATCGTTGTGGATCCTGTTATTAATTATCACGATAGTGTCAGTTTTACAATTTCTGCTTACAATCTATGTTAAGCATAATAAAACTATTAAGAAAAGATACATGAGTAGGGTAAATAATTTAGATAAGATCTAAAAATGAATAAGGAGAAAATAGAAATCTGTATCCCACTTATACACTGCTATATAGCAGAAAAAGGCAATGATACTTTCAACACTACTATATATCAGGCTGAAATTGACAGAAAAAGAAGACCCATTTTTAGGTATAGCAACTACATTGGTTAGTACAAAAGTAAGAAAAGTAAGTAAAAGAATGGAATGGTACGAAATTGCGAAACATATCGACGCATTTCGTTACAAATTTTATAGATCTCACAAATCCATCAATAAAGATGCAGTTATAAAAGCGGAAACACTGAAAACCCATATAGAAATGTTAGTAGGGGAATACAATAATATCTTTATCTTATTAAATATGTAGATATGAAAATAAATTCACATCTGAGCACAATAGTAAATATAATGTAAAGGGTAATAAAATCCCTAAACACAAGATTGATTACTGCCACCAATAGGCGACTTATTCAGATAAACGTGCCAGAAAATGTTTATCTATTAGCGGAGTTTGATCCCGACCAATTTAAAGAATTAAACGAATCAATTCAACCAAGCGACGCTGAATCTGATAGTGACATTGAAACACAAGAAGAAAGCAATCCAATCGAGACAGGAAATAATAACAATCTTTGAAATGGCACAAACAGTTCTATAATTCATCAAGCTAGCCACATCTCTGATACCAGAGTTTGACGGTTAGCCGAAAAATCTACAAAGTTTTCTAGATTCTTTGAATCTATTTGACACCTTTAAAGGCACACATGAGCTAACAGCCATAAGCTTAATAAAAAACAAAGCTAAAAGGCCATGCGAGAAACCCAAAACTGTTCAATTGATTGGGTAAAACTTATCATGCAGGCAGACACATTCACAAATATGAATGATGCCGTTTCCAAATTTGGCAATAGTTGCACGAAGATAGAGGACAAAATCGTGGAAGAGGCCGAGGTAATTCCAGTGTGGCGCAAAATCCGTCGGAAAACTCTCAGGACCCTTAGGAAACAACCAGAAAATGCAAAAGTTCATTCAATCAATTACAGTCTTAATATATGTGTCACATTTTATAATCATTCAACTGAAAATGAACTCACATTCCTAATAGATACTGATGCAGCTATCTCACTTTTAAAAATAAACTCAGATAATTTTGAAATTCAATTCAAATTAATAAAATCTCGAGGAACAACTTCAATAGAACTACAATCAACAAAATATATTATTTTACACAAATTTCATCAGGTGGATTCAGATTACCATGTGATGAAATAATAGGCATTGATTTTATTAAAAAATTCAATTGTCAATTAGATTTCAAGCCAAGTGAAGTAGTTTATAATTAGACCTCAAAATTTAAATTATCCTATCTATGTTCCGATAATATATAGTGCTGGCAACAATACAGATCCCAGTCAGATCCCAAGTAATTCGAAAAATAGACATTAATACAGTAAATGATTATGTATTTGTTCCTAATCAAGAAATACATAATGGAATTTATATTGCAAATACAATAGCAGCATCCAAACATTCTCCTTCAAAACACAACTAATTTTGACCAATTGGTCAAAGTAAACAAAATCCAATATGAAAATTTAACAGATTATGACATTCACAACACATACCAGAAAATAGAAGCGAACAAGTACTTTCAAAATTAAAGAAAAATTTTCCAGAACATTTCAAAAGTCAACTAACAGAATTATGCACCAAGTATAGTGATGTGTTCGGACTCGAAACCGAACCAATAGCGACAAATAATTTCTATAAACAAACATAAAGATGATGAACCCATTTATATTAAAAACTACAGAAGCCCGCCTGGCCACGTTAAAGAAATGCAAAAACAAGTAGGGAAATTAATAAACGACAAAATCGTAGAACCGTCTGTATCCGAGTATAACAGCCCACTCTTGTTAGTTCCGAAAAAATCATTACCAAATTCGGAAGAAAAGAAATGGCGATTAGTAATTGACTATCGCCAAATCAACAAAAAACTACTTTCTGATAAATTCCCGCTCCCCAGAATTGATGATATTCTAGACCAACTGGGCAGAGCTAAATACTTTTCATGCCTTGACTTAAAGTCAGGTTTCCACCAAATTGAACTTGAAGAAAATTCAAGAAACATAACATCTTTTTCAACGAGCAACGGCTCATATCGCTTCACGCGATTACCATTTGGTCTTAAAATAGCACCAAATTCATTTCAGCGAATGATGACTATAGCATTCTTGGGTTTAGAACCCTCTCAGGTATTCTTTTATATGGATGACTTAATGATGATACGATGTTACTTAACAGATGTTTTTAATGTATGCAGGAAATATAACCTAAAGTTGCATCCAGAAAAATGTTTATTTTCACTGACAAAGGAGTATTACCAGATGACATAAAATTTGACGTCATCAAAAATTATCCTGTCGCTCATGTTGCGGACCGCGCGAGACGATTTGTAGCATTCTGCAATTATTATCGTCGATTTATGAAAAACTTCGCCAATTATTCGTGGCACATAACTAGATTATGTAAAAAGAATATTTCTTTTGAATGGTCAAGTGAATGCCAAAACGCAAGGTTGCGGAGCAGTTCTAACGCAGAGCCGTGACGGAATTCAGCTCCCAATAGCTTATGAATCTCGTTCAATTACAAGAGGGGAAAGCAATAAGAGCACAACAGAACAAGAGTTAGCGGCAATTCATTGGGCAATTGCCCATTTTACTGTTAAAACAGATCACAAACCATTGACATATCTTTTTTCTACGACTAATCCCAGTTCGAAATAAATTCGCATGCGGCTATCTAAAAAATAATTTTGTAGCAGGCGCACTTTCCCGTATTAATATAAAATAACTTAAAGATATGCAACATAAAGTCCACTACCAGGCGACAAAGTAGACAAAATAAAAACTGTACAGTAGAAAATTATGAACTTCTGCCAAAGCAGTCATAAAAATGCATCTAAGCCCAACGAACATGAAGTCATTACAAATGATGAAGTACGAAAAGTAGTGACCTTGCGCATAACAGAATCTAAATGTTTGTTTTAACTTGGAAATAAAATTATCGCAGGAATTGAACTTAGCGTTTTATATACTAATGGAATCCTCGACTTAGGTCAGTTCTTCCAAAGGCTTGAAATAGAAGCCGGTATATTAAAAATCAGCCAACTCAAAGTGGCACCGAGCGAAAAGATCTTTGAATCAGTTTCAATAGATTATTTTAAAAATATGGGCAATAAAATATTAAAGTCTTTAAGAGTAGCGCTACTCCAGCCCCAAATAACCGATGAAAAAGAGATACAAGAAATACTGTCTACATACCATGACGACCCAATCCAAGGAGGCCATAGTGGCATGACAAGAACGCTAGTGAAAATAAAAAGAAAATGTGACACGTCGGAAGAGTACGTACGTGCCGAATGTCTAAAACAAAGACACACTCAAAAACTGACTCTCATAGAAACACCTGTGAATGCCTTCGATATAGTGATAGTGGATACAGTTGGTCCGCTACCTAAATCGGAAAATGGTAATGAATACATATTCACATTAATATGTGACCTTACAAAATATTTAATAACCATTCCAATAAAAAGCAAAAACGCAAATAATGTCGCAAAAGCCATATTCGAAAATTTCATACTCAAGTTTGGTCCAATGAAGACGTTCATCTCAGACATGGTAACAGAGTATTAAAACCAGATTATAACTGATTTATGCAAGTTTATGAAGATTAAGAATCTTACATCTACTACATATCATCATCAAACATTAGGGATAATAAAACAAAGTCATCGAACATTTAATGTATACATTCGTTCATACATCTCTGCAGACAAAACTGACTGGGATGTCTAGATTTAATATTTCACTTATTGCTTCAACACGACACCATCAGCAACGCATGAGTATTGTCCATACGAACTAGTATTTGGCAGACTACCAAAAACAGTTCATAGACTTAAAAAAAAACTAATAACATAGATCCTATTTATAATTTAAATGACTACTCTAAGGAAATAAAGTTTAGATTAGAAATAGCATACAAAAGAGCTAGAATTATGTTAGAAAAAGCCAAGGTTTATAGGAAATTAGCATATGATGAAAGAACAAAAAATGTTGATATAAAAGTAGGAGATAAAGTACTTATAAGAAACGAAACAGGACACAAATTAGAGCCAGTATATTTAGGACCATATATAGTAGATAAAATAGAAGATATTGACAACATTTTTATTAAAGATAGTAAAGATAAGAAAAGTACATAAGGATGAGCTAAAAAATATATTCAATGAAAGGTTTCATGAAAAAAAGGGTCTGATCAACCTGAAAAACACTAAAACAAAAAACAACATATTTGTTTTATTCTTCTAAAAAATTATAAAAATAAAATAAAACGTAAATTCAAATATATTAAAAATACTATTTTTTCAATGAACACAAAAGTTTAAAAAAAAAATAAATAAAACCTCCTTAATTCATAACGGACACACAAAACAAAAATGATAATTACTCTAAGTACATTATAAATACATTACAAATATAAAAAATCTTCAAATTTAAAAATAAAAATTGTTTATAAAATAATAGAACTCAATACCAATACCATCAAAAAGATTAACGATTG